ACTCTCACTGGCTGCCTCCTATTGCCCCAGGGACCATTTGATTTTTGCACAGGTATCTGGTCCTGGCCTAGTGGTGGGAGTAGGTTACAGATTAGCCTCTGGGCCAGTCCGCATCTTTTGCTTTCTGTCTCTAGGATTCCAACACGGGAAGTAGAGATTGCCCTGGGGAATTCTATGCTTAAAGAAGGCCTTTCTCACTGATGGTTCTCAGTCTTCCTGGAGGTATTTATCCCTTCTCTTTCATGTACCTGTTGGCCATCTGTATGTCTTTGGAAATACATCTACCTTTTCAGACTGTACTTCACAAAGTGACAATTAATAATTGTGTCGAATAATGCTCTTCCTTTTTTGAAAAGAAAACAATATTTTTCCTTATAACTTAAGAGAAACTTCACACATCTATGTATAAATGAATAAATGTGATCAAATCTTGCCTCTGTATTTAAGTTAATTTCTTTTCTTTTTGGCTTGGTTTCTCTTCTTCCCATCCTTAGATTTCCCACATTACCCACTGCTCCTCCTACCAACCCATATTAATAAAAGTGTCCTTTCAAGTTTTTTCTTCATGCTCCCATAATCATATTCAAGCATGGGTATGCATAAGCCTACTTAGGACTATGTATATGTTTTACACAAAGAAATTGTTTTATACATGCTTTTTTTCATCTTGCTTTTCTCACTCAACAACCTCTGGAATAATCCCTCCAAACTAACTTCAATGGCTCTAATTCATTCTTTTTAAAAAAACATTTCTTTTTGGCAGAGAAAGGGTGGACAGAGAATTTCCAAGCAGGCTCCCTGTTGTCAGAGCAAATCCCTGCTCTGGGCTTGATATCACAACCTCCAGATTATGACCTGAGCCAATATCAAGAGTAGGTCACTTAACCATTTAAGCCAGGTAAGCGGTCCTCTAACTCATTCTTTTGAATGGCTGTATAACAATCCCTTGTATGAGAATACTGTGATTGAATCAACATTTCCATTTTTGCTATTATGTGCCAAGCTCCAATAAATAATCTCATACGTATACTTTCTGTATTGCAGCTTTCATTTTTTGTAAGGTAGACTCCCAGGGGTGGGACTTCTGGGTGAAAGAGTATACAGAATTTTTAATTTTGGTTGATGTTGTCAGGTTGCTCTCCAAGAAATCATTAATGTAGCGATGAACAGCTGTGTGTTTTTCCTGCAATCCTGCCAAAAAACGATGTTAACCTGTTTTTTAGAGGTTTTCATTTTTTTTTTTTTTTACAAATAGTTTATAGTCAAGTTGGTTTCCATATAACACCAATGCTCATCCCCACAAGTGTCCTCCTTAATGCCCATCTCCAAGAGGTTTTCAGTACAGTGACCTATAAAGTGATAGGATATTGTTTATCTAATTTGCATTCCCTTGATTCAATAAATTTGAGCATACTTTTACTTTTCTGCAAAATTTCTACAACTTGTACCCATTCAACTTTTATCCTTTACCATCTTCAATTACATCCTGGGACCAGACATTTTACTTTAAACACAAAATTAATCTATCTCTTTCTTTCATAAAAAGCACATCTATTATATGAACATCCATTATATGAACATCCATTATATGAACATATATTCATATTTCTCTGCCATTATGTACTTTAATCACCCATGATTAATTAGTTCCAGATCATAACTAAAGCCATTAGCTTTAAGGTACATTTTCTACTTTTTCACTTTCTGAAAGTGGGTCTAGTCCTCTAATTTACTTATCTGCCCCCCCTTTCCCATGTTCCATTTTCTTTCCCTGTGCCTTTTTGTTCTACTTGCTGGTAAGCCCTTAATTTTCTTTTCCATCCTTTCTATTGAGTTTTCCATTTCTACTTTCATGTACTTAATTTTTTGGTAACTGAGATTTAGGCCCCCCCATAGGGCTTAAACTCATGACACCTGATTAAGAGTCACATGCTCTGTGGACCGAGCCACCAAGCGCCTCTCATGTTCTTAATTTCAAAGAATTTCTTTTCCTTCTCTTAATGCTTCTTTTAAAATGCTATCCTACTTTTATTTATGGATGTTTCCTCTTCTTTTAAATCTGAATATAAATATATATTCTGAACATATATCAAATCTGAACATATATTTATTGAAGCATAATTAGCCTATGGTGTTATATTAGTTATATTAGGTGTACAATATAATGATTCAATGGTTCTATACATTACTCAGTGCTCATCATGATACGTGTATCCTTAATCCCCTTTATCTATTCCACGCACCCCCTCTACCGTAGCTACATATATTTTAAGAAGTATTTTTTTTCCCTCTCTTGGCAGTCTCTGTACCTTCCAAATTGCTTTGTTTCTTTTGTTTGTTTGTTTGTTTTTCTCTTTATTTTCCATGTTAAAGATGCTCTTAAGGTGTCTGGTGATTTCTGGTTGTCTGAAACCAATATTGCACTGTATGTTAACTAACTAAAATTTAAGGGGTGCCTGGATGGCTCAGTTGGTTGAACGACTGACCTCGGCTCAGGTCATGACCTCAGGGTTCATGGGTTTGAGCCCCGTGTCAGGCTCTGTGAGTACAGCTCAGAGCCTGGAGCCTGGTTCAGATTGTGTGTCTGCCTCTCTCCCTGCCCCTCCCCTGCTCGTGCTAGGTCTCTCGGTCTCAAAACTAAATAAACATTAAAAAAAATTAAATAAGCAAAACAGGAAAGAGAAAACAAAACAAAACAAAATAGAAATAAGGAGCTAAATGTTGGCAGAAGCTGTGAAGGCACAGGTGGACCTGTGTACCGGAGGGTGAGCTATCTGGCTCTTGTGTTTTTTGGGAGCTCCTCCTCATCTCAGTATCTTCAGGCTTGTCTTCTTGGGCCCGTCACATCTTCCTGAGAAGAACTTTCCAGTCTCCTGCACTGTGGAAGGGTAGGACAGGAAGACCCATACTTTCACTTAACCCACATCCCTCACACCCCTGCCCTGCCCACTTTCCATGCTGGTGAACCTGCTCATCATGTCTTCTGTCTTTTCCCTTCTCCGGAGAATAAAACAACAGTCATCTGCTGGCAATATGGGGTAGAACAGGAAATGTCAGGGTCTGACCATGTCTCAAACAGATTTCAACCCATCCTCCTTATTTTATTTATTTTATATTTAAAATGTTTTTTTAGAAATATGCCATACTTATTTATTTAAAATATTTTAAATGTTTATTTATTTTTGAGGAGGGAGAGGGGCAGAGAGAGGGAGACACAGAATCTGTCAATCTCACGTCTGGTTATTTCCAGACCCAAACTTCGTGTTGCCTCCTCTCCTCCTCTGTCTCCTTAAGGCTCCGTGCTCATTCATTACAAAATCTTTTGCTGTAGTTTTGGAAGCCTTGAAATTAATGCGATCCTCGGTCCTTATGAAGGCAACTTTTTATCATTTGTCTTATGTGTCTCCCTTGTAATTATTTCCACACAGTTAGGATTTCTTTGTTAACCCAGTTGGACATTCTCTGCTTTGTAGGTTAAGGATTGATAGGTATTCGATTTTATTCCTTCTATCTGATTTTATATTTGTTACATTTTTTTAGATGGCTATTTTCTGACTTTCCTTTCCTTGGTAGGTCTGATCCAATTGTAATTCATTCTTAATTCTCTAATAATTACTATGCTTTTCCATTCCATTTTCCATTTTTGGTTCTTATAATTATTACATATTTCTCTACCATTGTTAAAAGTGAGATACCAATTATATCCCTTATCAAAATGCTCTTTATACTTCACCATATATCCCTCCTATCCTGATTAGCTGACTCCAGAATGTTTTTACTCTTCCTTCTGCCTTTTCTCCTAGCAAAGGAGACCCTTGGAATTTTAAAATTTTCTTTCTCCCTAGATATAACTCTCAATGCCAGTATTTCTTTAATGAAACTTTTTTTTTTGATTCTATGCTCGTTAGAATTCCTCCTTGCAGTATGTTTCTTCTTCAAAAGTCCCTATTTGAAAACAATCCAGGGCTATTATGTTTAAAAACTTAGGATCTGTGAGCCAGATTGCTTTTTTTTTTTTAATGTTTATTTATTTTTGACAGAGAGACACACACAGAGAGTGAGCAGGGGTTGGGGCAGAGAGAGAGGGAGCCACAGAATCCGAAGCAGGCTCCAGACTCTGAGCTGTCAGTACAGAGCCGGGTGCAGGGCTTGTACTCAAGAACAGTGAGATCTGAGTTGAAGTCAGACGCTTAATCAACTGAGTCACCCAGATGCCTCCAGACTGCCTGGGTTTTAATTCTGGCTTCGCCTCTTCCTTGTTTTATGTCTGTTGGGTCAGTTACTTAATCCTTTTGTGCCTTACTGTCCATTTTGGTGAAATGGAGTTAATTCTAGTACCATCCTTACGAAGACTGTGAGGGTTAAGTTAGTCACTGCATTAGAGGTACTTGAAACAAAGCCTCTTTCATACTTTAATAAATGTTAACTTATTAATACATTTATGCACAAATCTTAGATATTATATCATTATTCATTTACACATATATTTTCAAGATATACCTGAATGTATCTATATACATGTGTGTGTATGTTTGAGTGTATCTACCTGTATGAATGTGTGTATATATTCAAGGTTTATTTCTTACTCCCTCCTCTCTTTTCCTTCTGTGCCTTGAAACCTCATTATAATTTATACTCAGGGGATTTGGATATAGGACTCTTGGACTATAACCATTTTCTCCCCAAATTCTTTCCTTTCATGGTTCTATTTATATTTTTGCTTTGTGCTTTAACATTTATTTCCTTAGATATTTTACACCGTTATTTTGAATATCAACATGGCCTTCCTTTCCTCCAGCTCATCTCGTGAAATGTTAGTTGGAAAATTATAATTTTTAGCTTCAACCTGTTTTGTTTTTTGTTTTTTTCTTTTCTTTTAGAGAGCGAGAGAGTGAGAACGAGAACGAGAGAGAGAGAATATTGAGCAGGATCTATGCTCAGTGCAGAACTCAGTGCGGGACTCCATCCTATGACCCTAGGATGATGACCTGAGCTGAAATCAGGAGTAGGACGCTCAACCCACTGAGCCACCCAGGTGCCCCAACGAGCTGTTTTTGGACCTGAATTGCAATTTCATTTTTTTCCCCTTGATATTCTCCTTCACCTCTATTTCTCTTGGCATATGCTAAATTGGAACAATCTGATTGCTCTCTCCCTTTGAACCTCCTTATATGTGTGTCTGTATTCCTGTGCCCACTCACTGTGGGGTAGTTCTGCTCACTGGGGCCTCCAAGTGGTGGCAGCCAAATGTCCTGGGAAGGTAGAATAGAGGCTGCTAACTCATTGCTGAGACAGCTGGAGGGAAAGTCTTCCTTTTCTCTTAGGCTTCCCCAGCTTCCAGGTTGGAGCGGGCTTACCTCACTGCTCTAGGGGTAAGGAGACCATTTCCTGGGGGTCCATAGATCCCTGCAGACTGAGGTAGGTCCTCCAGTGCTGATGCCCAGGTCCTCTCCCAACCTACTGGAGAGAAAGCCTACACCAGTTCACTCCTCTGCAACTCGCACAGAGCCCGAAGACTTCCTTGTGTCCAGTTGTTGATTACGTGGCATTTGTGCCATTTGGGAGACAAATGGGTTGGAGTTGGTTGTGGAGGAAAAGGGAGTATTGATTACAGGCTCCCTGAAAAGAGCCTTCAAATATAAAAATGTTGATAAAGCAAAGCAGAGTCAGTAGCCTCTCGGCAGTGAGAGGGTAGAGGTGGAATGTTTATAGGCTCTCGTCTAAGGAGAGTCTCTCAATATGGCGGGGATTGATGGGATTGGGGAAAGTTTGTTATGGATTAGTTCATAACTGGTGGACAAACTGAAAATGATACCTGTCATAAAGCATAAAGAATCATTTGGTGAGTCGGATTGGGGGCTCTACTGTTCTGAGAGGTAGTTATTTACTCTAACGAGGATCAATGAATAGTGTAGGTGTTTCGATAAATGAATTTTAGGGAAGTTGCTGAAACACTCAACTTCTTTATACTTCATCTTCAAGTTTCCTGGAATAGTAATGTGACGTTGATGTAGACAGTGCCCTGTGTGGATATCGATGGTTTTTGTGTTCAGGGGTCCAAGTCAGACACCATCTTTTCCATGTCCCCCTGCTGCCAACTATGGCCTTCACAGGTGCATTCTCAACTTTGCTCTTTTAGGATCAGTGCTTTTGACTTTTGGTTGCACATGGAGCAATGAAGTCACTGAAAGGAATTCCAGGAGGGACAGGTTATCTGATACCAGCTAAATGCAGAATGTATTTGGGGACAGGGAATCCTCTTTGGGAATCCTTACCTGGGCCTTGGTAGTTCTGAGCAGGGAGACAGAGGTTGGAGGGTCTCCTAAGAAGACTTTTGTAGGCTAATTGACTAAATATTAGTAGGTACAGAGACTCTGTTGACCAATTAGAAAATCACAATAGTCTAAGAACTATGGGACCCTGTTGTCATTACATAATCCAATCAGAAAACATGTAGTTTTATCAGAGAACTCTAAGATTCTTTAAAAGCATTCATTTCATGGTTCTGGTCTGCACTGGGCAAGGGCATTTAGCAATAAGAAGGGTGCTGGGTTTCAAAAGGCAGTTTTCAGGGTTTTCTTTGGATTCATCATATCTGTTCAAATCTGGGTGGCCTGTTTTGTTGACCTATATGTCAAAGTTAGTTTTGCAAATAATAAAACAAGAGTTTTATTCTGATTAAAAAATAATCCAACATAGAAGGCAGACTGAAAACTAAACAACAGTAAACCATCATCATAATAAAAACAATAATAACTCTCAGAGTTTAGGTGGTATGGACCAGGCCCTAGATTAATAGGGAAGGTCTGCAGTCCATACCCTTGAGCTCATAGATTTTAGTCGAAGTGAAAAACCCCAGTTACCTTAGATAGAAGATGTGGAAGGGAGGAGGTTGGCAGGAAACTCAGCCAGAGGAGGCCAGATGCTTCTCCCCACAGGACACTCGACCTTTGACTCAGAGTCCTCAGGAAATCATGACCCTTTTCTTTAGTATTTGATCCCCAGCTGATGCAAACCTTTTATTTATGTTTGCCCATTGGACACTGGGGCAGTTGGGCTGTCTTCACCTCTATAAAAGGCAGCGTAGAGTGCTTCCTTTGATGTGTTCCGCCTCTGCTGTGGCTTCGCCATTGCTGGCTAACTTGGTCTTTCCCATCTAGGGAGCTGGATCCCACTCCTAAAAGCTCTAATTTGGGGATCAGAGCCTGAAATAGCCCCAAAGGTATCCTGTTTAGCTTGTCATTTAAATAGCTAAGCCCCTGCCATGACCATTTCAAACCCTCTCGCCTTTCATTTAGCTAAGCAGTTCTTTTTTCAAATTCAACTTGTTTGTGAATGCAACATCTTTTTTTCTTTTTCCATTGCAATTCTGCATCTATAAAAAGCCTTGATTGAAAGAGGGAAGAGTGAAGTCAACATTCCTCTTAGTAAAGGACCTAAGTTAGAATTGTAGAACTAGCTAGGAACTGAGCATAATGGCTTCCAGCATCTCCCTGGTGAGTTCAGAGGTATGCAGGGTGTGACTCCCAGTTCCAGTGAGGACTAGTTTTTTCACCTTGGTCAAGTAACTTGAGATCTCTTTGCCTCAGTTCCCGCATCTGTAAAACGGGACTGGTAACCTCATATATATAACCAGTTCAGTGAAGTGAAAATGCTGGGCCCCTTGTTCCAATTTCAAGATAGCAAAAGCAGAGCATTAAACCATGTATGGGGTCCTTCTGAGCATGGAGCCCTATGTTACTGTGGGAAGCTGGCCCTGATCATAAGATTGTTGTGAAGATAAAATGAATTATTATACTTAAGGCTCTTAAGGTAGTATTTGGCATATATGTCATCTATGTACACATTAGATCTAAAAAAAATGACAGTTGGGTGATCTGGGAACTCAAGAGGTTGTCACTACTTCAGGGAAACACAGTGAGTTGGTGGTAAATAGAGGCTCAGGCTCTGTCTGTCCAATTGCTTCCTACAGAGGTTATTTACATAATATGCTCTATGCTTTTTTCAGTGAAGGTGATTCATTCAATCAGCATTTTTGAATGGTTTTAATGCTCCATGCACAGTGGGAGATTGCAGTAATATGTTATTCATGAGTTTTGTTTTTTACTTATGGTGTGATACCACTCTAGACTAGACCTCAAGTTATACTAACTGTCATTGGTTGGGCCTTGGGATTCTTGTCTTATTAAGCTATATCACTTTAGAAGAGTCAAGTAAATGACACTGGGAACTTGTCCTCAAAATATAAACAGAATTTACAAGTGTAAATTATTTAAAAAATATAAATGTAAATATAAATGGTGGATTAGTCTCTTTATGGGTTAAATCAGGGAATGTTTTAGATGCTTTAAAAGAAATCTAGTTCCAGAGTCAGTGATACAATCACTTGAGTACATCTATCGAGGGAGCACTGTGTAATGTATAGAATTGTTGAGTCACTACGTTGTACACTTGAAACTAATAATTGATATTGTATGTCAACTATACCTCAATAACAAATTAAAAGGTTTGAATATATATATATATATGTAATTTTAACATGCAAAATATGAAGTAGCTACAGTTAGTCCAACGGACTTTTTAAAGCAATAAGCTTTTTTGGGAGGTGCCTGGGTAAGCGTTCGACTCTTGATTTTGGCCCAGGTCATGTTATCATGATTCATGAGTTTGAGCCCCGTGCTGGGCCTTACACTGGCAGCAAGGAGCCTACTTGAGAATCTTTCTCTCTCTTTCTCTGCTCCTCCGCTGCTTGCACGCACACTCTCTCTCAAAATAAATAAATAAACATTAAAAAAATTTTAAAAAGCAATAAACTTTTTTAATGTTCAGGAATGTTTTCCTGATAAATAACTTCCATTTTCATGGAACTCAGCCCATAAAAGGCCCTGTACTACCGACTTGTCTGATTTGAATTATTCGGACTAGTTTGGCAACCTATGAAATATCACTTTGATTCTTATCTTGGTCATGCTCACCTTGAGTAAGACTTTTTGTTAACGATGTATACTCTTACCACAAACACAAACGCATTTGTGAACTCTGTCCTAACTATTGATAGGTTTCTTACATTTAATATATACTCAAATCTCAAAAGGAGATCATCTCCTGTTCTTCATTAGGATTTTTCGGTTCCAGGAACATGTCAGTTTCTATTTGTAGACTCTTCTAGGAAATTTTCTTCATTCTCATGTAGCTGGAGCAATGATGGGAAGCTGTCCCTTCTCTGATGGACTTAACAATGCTATTTCTGGAGAGGCTAGGCAGCCATTCATTTGTGGTTAATACTGTAATTCTTAAAATGTATTTTTAAGAAGTGGATGGAAATATCTGAAACTCCATTTTCGTTTGAATGCTATCACTGCTTAAACACACACAGAAGTGTCAGCAAAATGCTGTTTGTGTTGGGCAACTTCTATGAATTGAAAGTAGCTAAGCTAAAAAAAGGGAAATTGACAGGTGTCTTACTAGGCTCTAGCTATTAGTCATTTTTGTATCTGCACAGTAATTGACACGCCACTTCTAAACAAGGGTTGTGCATTTGCATGCTCTCAGGAAGAAGTCCTGCTGGGTGATTCTAATCCACTATTTTAGGATGTGATGGCTTAATTTGAAAAATGTTTTGATGAACAAAACATGATCTCTTCCTTGTCACTTTCCTCCGGTTTCACGGTATAATCAGGGACTGAATGGATTTTGCTAGGGTATGAAATATCTGATGACTAAATGGGTTGGCAGTAAAATTGGGGGTGGTGTTAGTAACTGGCTTCAACAGGAAAAAGAAGAGGGATTATCTTCATTCTGTTCTTTTCTTGATGGTTGTTGTAAAATGTATTTTTGGTGTATTACAAACCAGTTGATCCTTTACCGAGTGAAAACTGGGGAAGGAATTCTAAGGATAATTATTTGTTACATTTTTGGGGGCTGCTCTATCTCCTAGAATGGAAGATTTGGAATTACAAGAACTTTAGAGAGCCTAAAATTTAAATCTCTCCTTTCCGGATGAGGAAAACTGTAGCCCAGGGATGTGAGGTAACA